AAATAAATACATCAAATATCATGAATGATTCATTGAATGTTCCAAATTAAATAGCAACTCTTTGATCTGCATTTACTGCTTATTAGCCTTGTGTGGGTTGAAACAAAATTACCCTTAATTTGAGGAATTACTCTATCGTGTTTCAAAGCACCCAGGGTTATTATAAAAGGATGATTATTTGCATTATTTCTGCTTCGTAGGAAATTAGAATGAGTAATTCACTCATGATGATCACGACTGTAACTGTAAAAAGTTAGATTTCAACAATGAAATAGTGTTATTATTCCTCAAGTTATAGTGCCCTACTATACTATGCAATACTATAAAATCTTCATACATTGTTCATTATGTAACATGGCAAGATTGTACCTTAAGGGTTCATGGTGTACTTTATATATTAGTTTTAATTTAACAATGGTGCATTGGATATTTATTCATTCAGTGCACCTACTGAAATATATTTTAACCATAAAACATAATTGCTGTTTTCTAAGCTTAGTAACCAGGTAAGTAATCATATTTTACCTAATACCAAAACCAATTAATTTACAAGTAAAACGTTGCATTGGACCTCAAAAATCTGATAACCCCATAAATACATAAAAACATGAAAATTAAATACTGAATCATTATATGTATCAACCATATAAACTGAAAACTAATGTAAGCTCTTATTTAACTAGAATATAATGAAAAAATGTATGTAAGCTTAAGTGTAATGATGTTATTCTTGTAAAAGCATGAACTCTACTTGGAGAAGTTTATTTCGATTTATCATGTATTATTATTCAAGTTGAGAACGTTAAGAACTTCTGTCAATTATATGGCTTATTAAATGCAGATATGAATACTGAGCCCTCAGAATAAGAGATTTTGAGTCGAGAGTTGCATTTTAATGAGCACATGTAGCACGTTGATCTATACTGAGTTCCTAGACTTAACATGTACACTGGAACCTTGATAACAAGTCTCTCGTGGAGATTAATAAATAAGACGTGTAATCAAAGTTGACGGCTTATTGAGGTTTGCAATAACATGAAATGAAAGGAATGTGAAAATGACACGTGTTGTCAATGTCGAATTTCTATTGAAGAAGGTTCCTCTGTTTATTCCAAACACTGTTTTAGGAAGAAAAGCGCAGGGGCAAACTAAAGCTTTCAAACTGTTTTTCATTGTTATAAATAACCATATAATGCAATTTTAAACCATCGCTATAGGTTTGAAGCGTAAGATTTCATAACTATTTTCAATAGTTTGTAGTAGTAGTATGTATGTATGTAGTCAAAAGTATACAATGTAACTAGAGGGAACTAATTATTTTTCATACAAATTACAACAACAACAACAAATAACAATACATACAAATTATTTAGAGATTTTTAGTTCTAATTTTAATTTATAAAGGCATACATCTTGTTGACCTTTTTTGCTTGTTAGCCATGTTATCCAGCAAGTATTATTTAACTGTACATATTTTTGTCCTGATAAAATGACAAATTTACCTTATTCAATTTTTGTTTTATACATACAGTACGTTTGTGATTGTTATGTTTATGGGGAAAATTCTCATTATTATGGTGCCAACACTGATTCAGTTTCATTTAACTATAAAATAAAATTTAAGAATGTTACTTTTTTTCAAATTACCTTTATAGGGAATAAGGTATTACCGTATGTATCATAGTAAGACCTGGGCCCGGGACCAGTTTCTCTCAAATTCCCCAAAATTTCGTTCTAAGGTCCCTAGAGGCCCAAAAAATCATCAGTTCAAATTAATTTACAACCAATACACAATTGGTGAGATTTCGTACAAATGTGCTAACATATATATATTTGAACGAGTTCACGTAACAGCATTATCGGATTATGAGGACGGGGTTTATGGGGTAAAATGGGGGTTTCCCATATTTGACCCTCAAAACATAAAACTTCGTTATACATTGTGTTCAAAAAAGGTGGGACATATTTTACCTAGCGATTTCTTGGGTCAAAATAAAGAAAAAATCACGTATACAATTTTTTACAAAATCACTTCGTTAACCAGATATCCGCCATTTTGTATTTTTTACAGAAATATTTTTATCTGTAGACTTTTTCAACCGATATTTATAAGGCATAGTATGTGTGTTAAGGTACAAGAGACCCATGTTAGAAAAAAGTATCATCTTTATTCAACTGTAATTTTAAAATTGCGACCATTTTTATTTTTTAAATGACTTAAAAACGGCTGATTTTATTAACCAACGTCTGGAATACTTTTATTTAGCATTTTTAATTCCCTTTCAAATGATACCAAGTTCAAAAAGATCGAATAAGAAATAGCTCAAATATAAAGATTTTCAGTTGTAAAATGGATCAAACCTGAGCGGCTGCCTTATTCTACCCATTTTTCTGACATGGGTATCTTTTATCTTAACATACATACCAAGTTTTATAAAGATCATTTGAAAAAGTCCAAAAATAAAACTGTTTATGTAAAAAGTACAAAATGGCGGATAACTGGTTAACGAAGCGATTTTGGAAAAATTGTTATACCTGATTTTCTCATTATTTCGGCCCAAGGAATCACTAGGTAAAATATGTGCCAACCTTTTTTGAACACTCTTTATATTTCTAAACAGTTCTGAAGAACTTTTAAACAATTAAGAAGATTAAATAGCGTAAAATATAAGCGTTTTTATACTCTAAATGGTTACAGAGAAAGGTTCAGTAAAGTTTAAATTTGAAACTACCATGTTACTCCTATGGGAAAAAATAATCAGCTGTAGTCTGCTTGTTTATAGACATATATATTAGGCACTTTTTCAAATCGTACTTTCTACTGCGTTCTACTACTACTTCTACTACGTTCCAGTAAAATCACATTTCATTATATTCTTTGTAGCAGAACACGCAAATTACTCACTAAGACTAATTTAATTTAATAGGGAAATAAGTCCTAAGATTTCTAAGGAAACATTTTAGTGGAAATAAAATCAGAAAATAAAAACATCGCTTAGTCTGCAAGTTCCTGTGGTGGGGGTGTAATTTTCTTATTATAGGTTGTTTTAAGTTATTGTTATGAAGCTCAACACATATTATTGATCAAATATGGGATGTATTTTATAAAAACTTTGTCCCGGGTTGAAGTAAAGTTGTTTTTAAGGTATGAAAGTGGCAGGACGGGCAGGTGCTATGTCCAGACTTGTGATAATGTAATTGCTCCAAACAAGTTACATCAAAACGTTTCTTCAACCTTCCAACGTAAAAAGAACTGTACTACACTCAAATGTGGGGTGAAAGTTGAACAAATTTCGTTAGTTGTCGTTTTTGGAATTCAATCAATTAATTGATTCACCTATTGCATATCAAGATTGAAATGATCACTTATAACCAACCAATACTTCTACGGTACACAAAAGTATCAACGTAAATGTTAGTAATGGCATAAACTAAAATACACATCACATTTTAAAATCCAAAATTAAATCATGACAGAAGTTTGTGTTAGTCAAAGAAAACATGAGGACTTTAAAAGATTTCTGGGACAGTCTAGGATTCTTTATCATTTTTTTGCTGGTTAGTTAGTAAGGATCAGTTATTTGATGTATAATGATCAAGTACAGCTGGGTCCAGTTTCAAACCATCAAAAAGCTAGTGACTTTTCTCAAGATCGAACCGGCGACCTTTCGATTGCTAGGCGAGCACTACCTACTCAGCTACAAAGTCAGTTTGTAGAACCATTGACTTAAGATATAAAGTCAATGATAATACTTTTAAAGAGTAAGAGTTGCCATTGGCAACACAATACAAACATAATGACAGATCTTCTTACGTATTTAGAACGCCGTACAAACAAAGTAATCTAATACCTTCTTAAACTGTTCATTAAATATATTCCTTTGTCAAACTGAGATGTAGTTATAAAGGATTAATTTAAGTTGAGATATTGGCATTACTTCCCTCTTTGATGTAGCGATAGAGCGCACAGTCCCAAACTAACTAATCAGACCCAGTGGTGGGGCTTGTGAATTAGTGGGGTGAAACTCCAAATAAACATAGCCCGTTTTACATTCAGTTTACATTTATCACTTACATGCTCTCAGCTAATCAGAACGCAATTATTATTAAATAATAAAGTGATTCATATATGGATTTCAGTAAAATGTGTTAAGAAGAAGCTTCCCTCTATTTAGGGACTTAAGTTTTTTAGTGGATTTCCCTGTAGGGAAGACACTATTAAAGTGCACGGGAATAACTAGACCTGAGACCGATTAAACTTTTCATTTTAGACTAAAAATATTTGTCGCTTAAATTTGTATACATGTATGTATACATAAATGTGTCCGTAAGCAATAAATGGAGAAATTTTACTCCTATTTTGATGAATTTTGGCATAAACATTGAATGAGTCTGCGATGCAGCAGGATTGGATTAATAAGGTCCTACTTGTTAGTAGGATTTTGTTTGTATTCAAAATTAGATTTTTTTATTTTTTATTTTCACTTTAAATGGTAAAAAACCCGATTTTCCTCACAGCCACTATGTAGAGCTTGAAAAGAAACAAGCTTTGTACAAGTCTTGTACTTTACTTTGAATCACATTTCTACAATTTATAGTTACGGAGAAAATTCCAAATAAACTGTACTTTTAAGATTCCCATGATATTCTTAAGAAGAATATGTAAAACTTCCTAGTTTGCTTGTTAACGGGTTAATAATCCTAAAATTTGGCAAACTTGCTTATTTCATCCAATGCTATTAATTTTTTTTTTCTCTACCCTATACCAGTTTTGGTATTCTCTACACCATACTAAGTAGGCCTACTAGTTTAACCTGATGCAAGGTGTGAATCTGACATGTTTAAGGTAATATTTAAGGAAACATCCAATTAGGCTAATGGTAATTCATTTAGTATAAAAGATATCCTTTATTTATCTATGCAAATATAGCTTGTACACAGTTTGATATATAAATGTAAAATAAATATTCATTAATAATATTTTACTGTATTTGTTTCAGAGGCCCGAACGTATCGATCCTCCATCTGAGAAGCACCTCGGAACCTTGGGAAACCAACGCCTCCATAGGATACTCCTCAACGGCGTCACGAACCACGAGGACTTCTGTGATGGTGGGCGGAGGGAACCGCTTCGCCAACAAGACAGGGAGCCTCCGTCGAGAGCCTGTGCAAAGCCAAGGGTCACTGGTGGTTTCTGGGGCTCCGGGCTCGGGAAACTGCAGCAGAGAGTTGTCTCCAGTGAGGTGGTGTGACCGAGAGGTTGACGGAGTTTACTTGGGACGATCCGGCTGGGTACAAGTACAGCAGAGATCGCTAGACGACAACAGAAGAGTCGCCTACACTCCACCCAAGCCTCCTGTAGCAGCAAATACACACAACATTCCCCCCAGACTCAAAATGTCGGACTTTCACAGTAGAAGCGAGCCCGGCAAATTCCCCGTGGAAGACATACAACCTAGACCAGGATTCTTGCCTTTGCCCAACGAGACGAGACGCACAAGAGAAAAGCCTTCTCCTTCCTCACTTGATTTGAGTCATGAAGATCCAATCACGCCTCCTCCTGTCACTCCTATTATATCTCCTCCTCCTGCGTTTCAAGATTCCAATAGACGGTTCCTTACCACAGCCACGGCTGCTAGAGCGCGTACCTTGTCTAACAAACCCGCGGTACTCACGAGATCCAACGCTGTAGAGTCTAGTCCTCCTCCGTCTCCACCGCCAACACTTACCTGGGTACCGACACCACCGACACAGAAGCTATCGCCGATTTCCTCAGTGCCTACGAGACCCAAGAGGCTGACTCCTTCGCCGGTTAGCACACCCCAACAACACGGTATTCCTCAAACTAAGTCTTTAGAAGACGCTTCTGGTATACGACGAACAGTCTTTCAAAAATACGATTCCTCTTCGTCCTCCTCGTCTTCTTTCGGTTTCAGGAGTCTCGATAGCAATATAGGCCCGAGAATCGGAATGCCGAGGCTAAACGAAACTGATTCCTCCCTAGGAGGTTACGAAGATGGCGACGAAGAAGACAATCTCAGTTCTTCCTTAAATCTTAGCGGATATTCCTCTGTTACTATGGTCAATTCTTCTCCGGACGCTATTGGAGCGTCTTTGTCGTTCCACTCTGTGATACCCGCTGTTGATAGAGTTTCACCTTCATCTCTCAGAGGTCGGCAGCATCACAGGCAAATGAGAAGATCACCTGGTTCTGATGGAAGCAATAAGAAACTAGGTAGCAATCAAGTGTCCCCAACCTCTTCCTCCTCTTCTTCCAGTAGTCGATCTCCTTCAGCCGGACCCTTCAGGAGGTCAGCTAGTCATAACAAGCCTCACCGTGGAGGTGACCACGGGGTCGTCACCTGGGACGGTCGAGGCAGCAGGGTGAGGAGGTCCAGAAGTCTCCAGCTCCCAGAGAGGAAGTCCCCGGCATCCTCTGGTGGAGCTTCTCCTGCGGGACGTCCTGACACCAACCACGACCCTGGACATCGAGGTGACTATTACCACGCCAAGCAGGAAACTCCTAGAGTCGTGGTCAAGATCAACGGGGAACAGCCCCACCGGACGAAAAGACATGGTTTGCAAAGTAAGTTTAATTCGTTAGATTTTTTTAGTTAGTGAATTCAAATAACAGAAGTTTTATTGGTGGAGTCCTTGAATACATTTGACTACTTTTGAAAATAATTCTCTCAGTAAAAGAATTAAGACTACGTTCAACAGATGACGACGTAACAGGATAATCCTCCTCCGGTCACTCCTATTATATCTCCTCCTCCTGCGTTTCAAGATTCCAATAGACGGTTCCTTACCACAGCCACGGCTGCTAGAGCGCGTACCTTGTCTAACAAACCCGTATTGTCCTATCTACATTTATGATGGTTAAATTATAAATGTTTTTTATTACTGCTCTTGTCCAACTCAAATTCATAAAGGAAGTTCCTACTAAAGCCACAATAGAATAGGACAGGGTTAACAAGTTTAGCTGCAAAGGGATTATCCTCTGTTCCCTTGTAAAATTGTTATAATCCTCCCAGTGTCATGGGATGGCCAATCCACTGTTGGTAACACTGAGGGATAAAATGTTGTTTTGACACTCCAACTGTAACCATATTTGCATTGTTGTACCAAAGCAGTCATAATTTTCCAGTAACGTCACAGTTTCTTTTTTGATTGATTAACTGATGTGTTTTCTTTTCTTTTACATATAAAAAAAAAAACTATTGAGTGTTTTGTGCACATATTTAAATGCGAAGTCTTTTTATAATCAATACTTATAAATCTTTCCTATCAATATCTTTATAGATTAACATTTCTCTTTATAAGCATTGTTAAATTCTTTTAGGTAAATTCTTAGATTTTAATAATATATAAATTTTAATTTAGTAGCTTGATTAGTTTGTTAATTGGAAACTTTCTAAAATTAATAATACCACTGTTGTCTTCTGTAGTAAAGAATAGGCCTACCATAAAGATGATAGTGGTCAAATGTGCTTTTTCAGTAATGATGGATTATCAAACCACCTTTGACCTTTTGACGTGTTTATCATTATCACTAAAATGAGTTTCTCATATAATAAACTGCGTTAAAACACCATGATATATCTATTCAGTATATTCGTTGATCAACCAATACATGGTTTTGCCAAAGTTATTCAAAATATGAATCATTTACAGCGGTAATAATACCAAAACTCAACATTTCAACGCTACAAGTTTCAACTCGCATCGATACTTCTCAATAAATTGTTTGTAGAATTTGCCTAGCTAAAACCATTTACATCGAGACGAACTTTTTCTAAAGTAAAAGTAATTGATTTTAAATGCATTTGTGATGTTTTACACCGTTTCTAATAGTTTTTGTTCTACACGCCATGTTAAAATAAAATCTTTTCGTTTAGTGAAATAGAAAAGGTAAAGACATTTTAAGATTTGTTGAAAATTATTCTTACAGATCTTTAAGCTTTAATAAAATATCTGAGACAAGGTTGCCTTTAGAATGTCTATGTTTGTTTTTTATTTTAAATTTGTAATTCAGTAGAGATGTTAAACGACAGTACCTGTATAAATTAGTTGTATGCATTTTCGTTTTGACCTGACTTTGACGTTAGTATTGAGGTTTCACATGGTTCACAAACCAAAACTAACTTCGATGTAGGATTTTGTGGTGGTTTTCTCATTGTTTACCTCTCTTCACTAAGTAAATATTCTTTGTGTTTGTTTTTCATACTCAAATACACCACATGAGCATTATCCGTTACACATATGTATACGGATTTTAAATTCTAGAACGAATATATAGTTTTCTCTTTTCTTGTGGAACGTAATACACTTTCCCGTTGTTTTCTATACATTTTTAATATTTGAAATTTTTACTGGGAAACACCGTATATAAACAAATATATAAACTCGCACATTGCCAATATTTTAATGGCTTCAGTAGCTATGTTGCGCCATTGAACAGCACCGTGAAAAGACAAGTTATGTTCTTTCAAATTACTCAGTCATATTTTTTAACTTTTTTATCAATCTAAAGAATTTTCCTTAATCAGTAGATTCAAATCTTTATTTTTTTAAGTTTTCTTCTAAAAATGTATTTGTATCTGTAAAATGCTTTAGAAAAAAGCTTATTTAGACGTATTTACCAGTCATTTCCCACTTAAAATTCTAATATTATAAAAAAATAAAAAAGTACAAGCCTATAGAAATAAGACATGAATAAATTAACATAAATATATTTTTAATTGGTTAAGAACCAAGCCAACAATTAATTACGGAGATCCTAAGCCCTTGCATTAGCGCGCGGCGGAGACTTAGAGCGCACCCTTAAGATAATGTGTCTGAAAGTACAAAAGTACGTCAAATAACACTTGTAATAATATGTTTACACTTATAATGTTTACTCACAAGACAGTAAATACAAATAAAAATATGGCCATTCCTATCCAACATTCACCTATTAGGTCTTATGATGATAGTGTTCAATCGAAATCTATCACAACTTACCATCATGTTAATTGTATTTACCGTCTTGTGAGTAAACAGTGTAAGTGTAAATATGTTGATATAAGTGTGTTTTGACATTTTTTTGTACTCTCAGGTAATTTAATAACACCTTACGATACTGATTCGTAATACTGATAAGTCATTTGGATATTGTATGTAAGAGCTGCAATAACCGAGTTACATTTAAGAGGAACATCGACAGAGATTACACAACGATCGAGATTACAACGAGATTACAATCAAACGATCAAACTTCCATATAATAAAATCAAACCGTTTTATCTTCATTGATGGTCGATTTTCATCACTTAATTCCCGAGCAAATCTGGGCATAAAGCTTTGTAGAGTTGATTTAATCAAACAGTTTTTCAGAGCTTTGGAAATGTGTAAAAGATATCGGTAGGATTTTGGTTATTCGGTTTTTTATTTAGAAAAAAAAATCTTTTCAATTTTATTTTTAGGTAACTTCTATGTAAAAAAATAAAAAATCAATAATAATAATAATAATAACTAATTAAATAAAATAATAATACAAATAATAATAAATTTAAAAAATTATATTTAAATGAAATTTAATGATAAACTCTAGGTGAATTTTGTAATAAACGGAATATTTTATTTTATTACCTAAATATTCTATTTTATCTCTGCAAATCATACGGGTCCTTTTATAGTAAAGTAAAAATAAAACTATGTATTTAAATTTGTATTGAGCTGATTGAATTTTAATCACACGTACAAACCATCAGAATCCCCACATATCTTTCTTGTCAGGCCTATGAGAACTACCGTAAGTTTATTATTAAATTTTATTACTTGTCATATATGAAAAAAACTTAACTTAGAGATAGTTTGGGACCAAAATCATTCAAAATGTATTGGAAAGCGACATTAAAAGTTTGAGAACAGTTGCCTGCAAAGAGTGACTTTTCTCCCCAAATTTACTTTAATAATTCTTCTACTTCGAACAACTCATTCATAGATTTAGAACTGTTGCTGAATCCGCTGTAGATAATCAAGAGTAAAACTTATTTCGTGCTATGCTGTATTCAAACACTTAGTAATGGTTGTTTGTCATGTTATATAATCTGTTGTAACTGCTTTTACTACAAAACTATTACTTAATGTTGTATGTGTATATTACCTGTACACATACTATATGATTTAGACTAATATTAAAGTGATGGACAAGGGAAAACAGGTATTTTTAACTTTTTACAATGCAACAAATAGTAGCTATGCACTAATAATATTAGCTTAAAGATATAGGATTAGATAATGCTAACCGTGGGTAAAGATTACCAACTTTTTTATAACACGGGTTTTGTTTAAGAATTCGTTTAAAGAATTTTTTTAGAAATTTTTAACACTTTACAACTTAATAATGAGTAAAATATGTATTTGAAATTTATGTTTTTAAATGCCGTAAATGGAATTTCGCACGAGGATATTGTAAAAGATTACCTTTTGGCTACTTAAATTAATCAGGAGAGAAGCTAGGAAAATATGTCCTGAGTTTTATCTCCGGAGTGACTTTCATTTTTAATTGTGGGCTCAACAAATCTCCTGATTCTCCGACTGTTTGTTTCTAGCTTCACGACTTAACTTCACAAAGTAATTTAAGGAGATTTCTCTTATTTATTTGGTTTTCACATTTTTTGGCTTTGCAAGGTTTTTCTACAGCAATTGAGGAAAGAACCCAAAAATGTGCATGTTGCATTCTAAGTATGCTTGAAAACAATATAAGTATTTTCTTGCATTCAAGAATTATTGATTAGTGAATTAACAAAGATTTTACTCAAACCCTTTTAAAATATATGGGTGATTTTATTACAAGTAAATATTCCAAACTCTACTGTCGTGTTGTATTGAGGAACAAAATGACACAAATCGTCAAATATGACCCCACTAGTACTCATTTCCAAGCATGGTATATTAACAAACTAGATTTTATAAATAATGTTTTATTTAACAATCTAAACATTTGTATGTCAAATTTTAAGATTTTTTTTAGTTCTGTTACCTTTACTAGAAAGAACTATATACATACCTATGCTAAACCAATGGAAGATTGTAAGTGATACAACTTAATTGCTATTTTTTGGTCCTTTCTGTAATGGTTAGCCATATATTAAATTGGTGTAAATACATGCTTCGTTGTAATCCTAATGTTGCCAGTGTCGCAACTAGTTGAGACTTTCTACGAACTCATCTTCAGGAATCAAGGATGACAAAAGGATGATGACTTCAGTTATCAGTTCAGTTTTTTATTCGTTTTTAATCTTTTAAAAGTACCGTTTTTACCACTTCAATTCCCGTGTTCGTGTTCGTGTGTTTATGTACGTCGTGTAAATTGACAACCTTCTTATCCTTGAAGCCAGAAGATGACTTCGTAGAAAGTCGAAACTAGTTGCGACAGTAGCAAAATTAGCATTACAGTACTAAGAAGGGGGTAATTACATCAATTAATATATTCAACGTGATTTGAAGTCTAACATAAACAATTAAGTTAGTCTTAGTTTTATAGCAACCTTAACTATTTATTACATGAAACTGAAACTTGTTACAGGGACAACTCAGTCGGAGGAACTGCAGCGTGAACGAGAGAGGGAGAGAGACAGGGAGGAGGAGTTGAGAAGAGAGGCAGAAGAAGAGGCGAGGGTAGTGACAGAGTTCCTGTACGGTGCTAGAAGCAGGGAGGCAGCAAGGGCACTGATAATGCAGCGATGTCTAGAGCAAAGATCGCCCGAGCCGGCCAGTGTGGGGTACAGACATCATCAGCAGTATCAGCAGCAACAACAGCAGAAGCACGTCAGCAATGCGGCGCAGCGTCCCAAGGTGCTGCAGAGGGGGATGACAACCCCCAACATGGGCAGTAAGTCATCATCACCCGTGGGCAACAACCATTTCTGTCCCAACCCTTGTAACCCATCCACCTGCGACTTCTGGCCCCACTGTGCCCACAGGGATGGAATATACACCACTACCACCACCAAGTCGTCAACCCCTCTTGCTACGTCACCAGTACCTCCTGCGACCCTTAGACTATCCCAGAGTTACCCAAACACCGTCAACCACACAGGGTACCGAGAGAAAAAGAGGGATAAAAGAGTCGAGGGTAGAAACGGTTACCAGTCCACCAGATCTTCTCCGGCGTCTTTAGAGAGGATGAATGAAATATCTCCCACCAAGCACTACCCGAAAAGAGGCAATAGTCTGAATGTCCCTGGAGAAGTAGACTGGCGAAATGTTGGACCTCAGTGTCGTTCACACTCTCACATGCCGATGAGAGGGAATGTCCAAAGTAATCCACAGCCCCCTGGGTTGAAAGTGGGATTGAGTGACACCTCTTCTTCAGCAGGATCTTCCATGGATGCTGTAGAGCCAGGGTATCGCAGTGCTATTGTTTACACATCAGCGATATCCCCTGATCCGTCGAAGGTGTCACCGATAGAGGTGAACAGTGTCATTGTCAACAATGGGGAGTCTTCAGCGTCCTCTAGCTCCAGTGATATCTGGGTGACGACCTCGGACCGCACCATGACCAAGTCGCCCAGGAACGCTAAGAGCTCGGGGGCATCCACCCCCCTGGACGACGGTCGAGCCAGCAAGTCTCCTGTCAGAGGGAGTGATGACGATCACTCCAGACCTGGCAGTGCTCCTGCTCACCAGGACAGACATCACCAGGTGGACACTCAGCAGCGCTCTCTCTCACTGCCCAAGTCTTTCCAGTCTGCTAGAGACATCCAGCGCCCGAGGTAAGTTTATCAATAGGTCAAATAACTTTTCCATTTTCTTCTTTACTTATGTGTCAGAACACTTCCGGGGTATTTAAAAGTGTCATCAAAAGAAAGTACACAATAAAAAACAGTTTTTGAATTTCATTATGAAGTTGGTTATGAAATATTACTATTATTAAATTATTAGACCATTCCAACGTTCTGAGAAACTTTGAAAGGTTATCTTAACGAATTTGAATCTAATTGGCAACAATGCAACGATGATCGACACTCTATTGAAAACAATCGATATACAACCGGTTACTCACAATCTAAGTTAACAAAGGAGCTAGTGCTGACGTCATCGACTCCAGATTATTTTTACTCCCTAGGATAAAAAGCTACATTGTGTACCTGCAAAACATGTTTTAAAATGCCCAATGTTTTTGTTGTCATATTGCAGGGGTTTTTTACAAAAAGAACTATGTGTAAACTGGATAACCAAGTTCTGTTTGTGTGGACAAATTCAATATCACTTAAAGATGCCAATCTAACCTTGTAAAGATGTCAACCTGAGATTTATTGTTTAACATCACAAATGTGATTTGCTAAAAGTTGCTGGAAACTCCTCTTTAACACCACTTCAATTTTAAGGGCCGCAATAACAACGACAACTTACTTAACTCTCGTCTTTTAGCTTACTTCCCGACTATTCATTAAAGCTTTGACTTGTGATAACCCTTTTTCAAAAAATAAATGTTTTATGCTAATTTTTTTTCTTCCTGTTAAAGAAGGTTTAAACCTTACATTTTTGGACAATTCATAAACTAAACAGTCTGATAATATCTAGTTAGAGATCAATAGTTAAGATTAGTTGTTGTACAAATTGTATGCAAAACAAACAGGAAATAAGACATTAAAAATTATAAATTTATATAAAAAAAATCAATCTTTTTTACTAGGAAAATGTGTTTAATAATTCAATTATTTTATCCAAATACAAATATGCAAACCAATTGAAACCCAATTATTATTTTACTAATATTAATAATATCTTGGCACCATATCAAAATAATTAAATTAAAAAACGCTCACGCAGAATTCATCAACGATATCAATAATCTCCAATATAAATATATTCACATTACTTATGCAGATAAGTCTTTGTAAATTATTCTGATTGTATTTATTTTAGCTCTTGGAAAAATAACTGATGCATGAGTGTTATTGTGTATTGTCAACAAATATATCAAACGTACATTATTGATGATACTGTGTTCGCTAGGTTATTAAAACATCATAATTGGATTAATTTTTAATACCTTAAAACATTCGTCAAATTCATATGGTTCCTCTACTGTATAATTTAAAACATCCTCCATATACTTAGACGGCATTTACTTAAACAGCTCATTATGTCATATTTAAAACATTATGTAAACTATACAAAATTAGTCATGGAAGTTTGTGATCTACGTATTTTATTAACTTTTTAAAAATATTCTTCCTAAGAAAAATACATTTAAAATAAGATTCTATTTGATTCGAAAAGCCAACATAAGACATGATTATCTTTATATAATTTTGCATAGCGCCATTGCAATAGGCTACCACATAGTGTATGAGATTAATCTTGTCGGTGAATCTGAAGCTTATTTCTACGTACAGTAACGTTTAAAGCGATGATATCTTTTATATCCTTCCATCTTTTTTCAGCTACTGAGTTAAATGTTCAGGGTACCCTTTTTTACGATATGGAACACATTATGTAAATAATTCAAACGATACCAAGTAACGTTAATTCATGTTTGACGTTCAAGTTTGTCATTTGAAATTTAATTGTATCAATATTGTTTTCTCTTATAGTTTTTAAAGTGAATTATTGAACGAAACGGTAAAATTAAAATACAATTTATCTGCTTAAACAATAGGACATGTGCCCGATTAATTATAGGAGACTTTTAATCCTCTTTTCAATTATCGAAAAAACTCCAATCACCCCCATCCCTATACTTATCAATCGCAGTGATCCATCCAATTGTATCTTATCTTATCTCAGGTGTGGAAGATTTCTTCTAATTCTTCTTCTTTCCACGGATATGATTTATCAAGACAATAATTAAACATTTAGATATTTATTGATTGTTTTTTAAGAACGGTCAAGACTACAGAACAAAATTACATTCAACAGGAGAATCAGTGGCAAATTATATAAATTTAACACAACTATTATTTTTGGATTATTACTTATCGATTATTATATTCCAACATGGTTCATATAACAGCTTAATGATGTATTTAAAATTAAAACATCAAGTATATAAACAAGGTTTTCAAATTTTGATGTACATAAGAATCGTAAGGTGTGCGAACGATTAAAAATATCCTTCTAGTGCAATTTGTATTAACCTTTGAAATAAATATTTTATTTATCTCAGAAAATCCAGCTTTAATAAAATGGACCTAATTTCAACATGTTCATTCGATCAGTAACTCATGTACTGTACGGCATTACTATTACTGTGCAAAGCTCATCGATTCTCTAGGGAACATTAATTTCAGCTAATGTATCATTTGGGCGTTCTTATCTGCTTCATTTAATCCAGTTACATTTTTATTCAAACTTTTAGTAGAACATCGTCAACCGGGAAATTTATATTTTTAATTCGAGTCTTCCTATATTGAATGTGCATTTTTATAGCTTTAAGGATTATTTTCCAATGTAAATAATGGGTACTAAAATTACACTTTACATAAACAAATAATTATTTAAACAAATTACTTATTTACTACCATCTGAATTATATCTACGGATATGAGATTAACATTCCTCTATGGATATGAGATTTTGATCGATCTATTTTGGCAAAAAAGGTTTTATATGTTTTGTTTTAATGGTTTTATTTGTTGACACCGTATCAGACACAACGCATCAATTGTGCACAAATATAAAGCTCATATTCGGTTTAAGATAAATAAGTTTGACGTATTCGCGGATAAAATGTTACAATTGGAAAGAGCAAAGCTGTAGTTGACCTATATTTGTTTAATTCCTTCACAATGAGCTTTTGCTAAAGGTTCGCCAAAGGAGTTACTTTAATGAACCTGCAGATTGTGATTTCTTGAGGCACTTCGAAACTAGTGCAAAAATGACAAATCTGAATTCAACTTTCTGTATTTAACATCAATCGCCTTCAATATATTTCTTTTTTCGTCTGCAAAATGCTTTTATTAACATATAAAATACATATAACTATACAAATTATTAATATATATGTAACCATTTGTGAAAATTACTTGATGTAGGTTAAAAATTTACTAACATTGCATTAAACTTGATTTCAAACTAAATTAATATATTAAAAGGTTCTTTTAAGCAAAGACCGTTGAAATTGCCAATTTGCTTAAAAACTTAATGAGTGAGCACAACTTTGTTAACACATAGTCTTTTTTTTACTTTTCACATATAATTAAAAAACTTAATTACAAATAAACCATTCATTCATAGCTTAGTTGATAAAGGTAGTTGAACAAAGGACCAATCTTGCAAATAATAGTTTATTAATCCTTATTATTTATTAACGACAAATATTTTACCAGAGACAACAGTTATAAATATATTTTACAAATTAAGTAAAGAATTATGGGTAGAGGAATGATTTTAAAATATTTTCTAAGGTCAATGTATGTATTTTCTCTAAACACATACGAGCAATGTAGGACTGCCAACATAGCAAGCTACATATTCCCTAGCGGCAGTCAGCTCCCTAATGTTTCCCCGGAGAATTACCTTTTACTCGGTTTGAGTTCAATCGCAATTTTATTCCACGATGGTTCTACTCTTTATTCTTTACATGATATTTCAGGTTAACACCTGAAAAGGATGTGTAAAAAAGTATGACTAACAGGTAAATGGAGAGGAATGCTAGTTTAACTTGATTTTTATACTGCTCAAACATTATGTCATACGTTTCCTCATTACATTAGTATGGCCCCATGATGGATATCCTATAATCTAAGTTATACAGCATACTGTTAGAAGGAAAACATAGTCAATAATTGAGTGTAGGGTTCTAATGGTCAAGAGGTAGTTCTCCCACCTAAGTAGTTTAAAACTTCACCATATATCAACTGCGATATGACATGCAATAATAAAGTGTGGTGATTAAACCCTATTTAAAACTGTGAGTAGATCTGTGATTTAGAAAGAAGGCAAGTGAGCATAGCGAACGAGCTAACCTGAAGGAAAGTGAGCGCAGCGAACGAGCTCCAACCTAAAGGTGAGTGAGCGTAGCGAACGAGCTCCAACCTAAAGGTGAGTGAGCGTAGCGAACGAACTTCAACCAGGACGTGATTGAGCCATGCAAACGAGATCATCTTGAAAATTAAGAAGTTAAACGGGGCAAAGCCCGCGGGTTACAGCTAGTAAATTATAAAAGAAACTATAAAAATGAAATTAACAATCACACTTAATGTAAGTGGTTAAAATGCAACATCTAAAAAAAATTTCATAAGTTACCTACCACAGTTAACACGATACGATTTTTAAATTTTGCAAAACTGAATCACCATATAAAACGTTTACGTGGATGAATTCATAATGAGATAAAGCACCGGTTGAGTTGAAAGTGAATATAATAATAAAAGAGGTTTAGATGGTGATGGAAAGGGTGAAATATTAAATCTTCTTTTCAATTACGGAAAATTACAAATCTATCTTTCAGCCTGCTTCTGTCATTCCATTCAAATTCAGACACTAAACTTTTACCTACGCTTCATCTTAAGTTTATTGTTTATTTCTTGCGTTATTTATTCAACGAACTCCAAATAATGCTTTTTAGTTTTTCACATTTTAATTATTTTCTTGATAATCTTAATTTACACAGCAAACTTGAACCTACTAAAGTTAAAAAATTAAGGATTATAAAAATAAGAAGCATTTATTTCACTATTTCCATATTCAGAATAGTTTCCAAATTTCTTACAAGATACAAACATAATTTCCAAGTATAGATATAATAATAAAGCTTTACAGTAAC